GGGGGGGGGGGGGGGTTGAGAACCTTCGGGGAGGAAACGTGTCTCCTGGACCTCCTAAAGCAGCAGATCGTTGAGACAGTCAGGTGGCCCAGACACTCACGCTTCCCCAGTGTCCTCCGGGCCGATCATCTTAGCAGGCGGGAGGTGGGGGAGGGAAGCCTCAAGGTCATGCACTCCCACCCCCCAGGCTCCATCCTCGGGGAACACTGCACCTGACCCCCGCTGGCCGGCTCTGGCTCTAGTTTCTGCAGAGCAGCAACCCCCTCCCCAAACCCTGGTCCTGCTGGTGTCACTCACCGATGTCTTTGGCTCTGACGGCCACCGGCCTCCGGAGCTCAGTGACGAATTTTTTGGCGTCCAGGCGGATCTCAATGATGTTGTTCAGCAGTGCAAACAGCGGGGCCAGGGGGAAGGACGCGACAAACAGGGTGACGAAGCCGAACTGGATGACTGCAGAGAGAGCATGGGCCTGGTCAGCACTGCCGCCGCGCCCTCAGCACGGAACGGCGGGACCCCTGCCGCCCCTGCCCCGAGCTCAACTCAACAAACTCCAGGTCCGGCTGCTGCCTCACCTCCGACGAGCTGCCTGCATGAGCCGGGTATGCATAAGAGGGGCTTTCAGGGCACATGCATAATAAGAGAGGCTCTCAAGAGCTGCCCACCATGACACCGGGTGACCTCCAGGTCAGGAGGGGGCTGACAGGAGAAGTGTTTGACTCTTGAGTAATGGAAATGTTCACTTATGACTAATCTTAAAAATTCATCACTAACATGAAAAAAGGCCCGTGAGCTCGGAGGCCCAGCCTGCAGTCCCCTCTATGCCTGGGGTCGGAAGGGCTCTCCTATCGGGCCCTGTGAGCCAGAGGCGGGTCCCCACTGCCCAGGATCATCCCGTCCCTCTGCCTCAGGGCCCTTCCTCCTGTTGAGTCCTATCTATCAGCCAGCTGGGGGCTTCTCCAGCCTCAGTTGCCACAGCTGGCACAAGGCTGGGCTCCTGGGAGAAGGTCAGGAAAAGTTTGCTGAATGGAACTGAGTAGGGGACGCTGGTTCAGGAACTGTACAGCAGGACCTGGTCCAATGGTGCTTGGTGCCAAGTGGTAAATAAGGAAACTGGCAGAATGTCACCCTGTGCCCAGCAGGGCTGAGTGCGGGCATTGTTAGCGCTCAGGGTGGGGCGGGGGTCACTGTGCTAGCCCTCGTCCTAGAGCTCTGTCCTGTTTGGCCTCCTGCTTGCCCTGGCAGGTGGGCTCGGTGGGATGCCCCTGTGGACGCTGGTTCTGTTTGAAGACTCTGGAGGTGATGAAGGCATCGGACAAGCTGCACAATGTGGGCTGCACACGTGGGCCGGGGGCTGCTGAGGCCCGAGGCTGGGGGTTGCTTGCTGGGTGGGTTTCCCCTCGTCCAAGTGATGCTGCTTCCTCTGGCACCAACGGGACAAGGCGGTGGGGAGGGGAAGCCAGAGATGCTGATGGGGCTGGGGCTGGGGCAGGACCTTTCTGGCTGGGCTCTTTCTTCCACTCTATGCACATCTGTGTGCTCCAGGTCTCCCATGGAAGGCCTGGGCCTGACCTTGCTCATGCCCAGCGACCTCGCAGGCAGGGGATGCCCACCTCCCAGACCCTCCCAGCTGTGCAGCCCCAGGCTGAGTCTAAATGGATGGGGAAGGGGCATCCCCCCACCCCGGGGAGCTGCCTGCCCGCCTCTGGTTCGCTTGGATTTTATTCCAGGAGAAAATAGAGAACAGTCATCAGAACACACCACTCGGAATCTCCTTCCTCTGAGTCAATGGCAAGGTGCTTCCTGCACAATCATCTGCGGGCCGGGAGGGACTTATTTGGAACGACTCGGCCAACAGGAGGAGCGGCAGGGAGGCACTTGGAGGGCAGTTACGCAGAAACGCTTGCTGCGCTCTGCAACCTGCAGTCTCTCTGTTCCTCACCCGGCTCCGAGCCGAGGCCACGCAGAGCTGTCCCTGGCTGCGCTCACTCCCAGGCCTGACCGGGGTGTGCCTGGGAACTAGCATTTCCGAGAAGCTGCCCATGGTGGCCAGGGTACTGCACTCTGGGACCCCCTCTGTGTGAGTCTTCCTGACCTCCTTCACTCATCCATTCACTCAGCAAACATGTACTGAGCACCCACTGTATACCTGCACCTGTTTGGGGAGGGGTACTATAACGAAGGGCAAGAAAGAAAGAAACTGGCTTCACAGGCTTCGACCCTACCAGGGAGGGACAGGCAGAAAAGATCGATGAGGACTGACAATGTCAGCTGGTGACCAGAAACGTAATGCAGGGGGAGGGGCATAGGGCCATGGCTGTGAGCGGGAGGGGCTGGGGGGGACATTCTGAGCAGAACCCTGGAGGAAGGGCAAGGGTGAGTCGCACAGGTGTTTGGGGAGAGCACTTCAGCAGGGCACAGCTAGTGCAAAGGCCCTGTGGCAGGCCTGAGCTCTGTGAGTTTGGGGAACAGCAAGGAGGTCAATGTGGCTGGAGCTGAGGGAGGCAGGAGGGAGAGGTAGGAGATGGGTCAGTTAGGCACTGGTGGCCATGCAGGCTGTACCTGGCCTTTTCCCAACCCCTGAGAGTTATGTGCCACCTCTCGAATCCTCCCATCCAGTACACGATTGGGGGTGACAACTCTCAATGCCCAGGTCTCCATTGGGTGCCTGCTCTGTGCTGGGGGCTGCAGACAGCCCCCAGGCAAGCAAGTCCTGGCACCGCCCCTCAGGAGCTCACTGCTACAGGAGAGACGTGTTGTGGACCCAGGGTAGGGTTTTCAAAGGACCCTGGGGTTTGGAGGAGGCACCCCGGGTTGCTGGGGGCCCCAGAGTGGAGCCGGGGCTGCAGCTTAGCGGAGCCAGGCCTCGGGTGGGCAGGGAGAGTGAGGGAGGAGGAATTGCTTAGCCTGTGTGTGTGACGGGGCGTGCCCGGGGACCGCAGCTGCTTGCCCTGGGCCTTGGGAAGCCAGAGCCCGGCCCAGAGGAGCAGCGCCCCGGACCCACGGACAGGCAGCGCCCAGAGCCCAGGGACCGCGCACCTCCCTCCTGCCACCTCTGCACCGATGCTCTGCAGAAACGCGGGACACGGCGAGGTGGGGCAGCACGTGCCCCTCCCCTCCGGCCTGTCCCCATCCCGACGCTCGCCTGGGCCACCCTGTCCCGTCCCTGTCCCCATCCCGCTGCCCTGGCCCATCCCCATCCCAACTCCCTGGCCCGTCCCTGTCCCCATCCTGATGCCCTGGCCTGTCCCCGTCCCTCCGCCCTGGCCCGTCCCCACCCTAACTCCCTGGCCCGTCCCCGTCCCACCGCCCCGGCCCGTCCCCATCCTGACTCCCTGGCCCATCCCCATCCCAACTCCCTGGCCCGTCCCCGTCCCCATCCCGACTCCCTGGCCCGTCCCCGTCCC